GAAACAATAAAGCAGTTCTAAATTAAAACCAGTCTTCTATTATCATTCAAATATTTATTGAGCAGAGCACTTAAATACAATGCTACATAGCACTGTGATAGGCCAAAGATGGAAATAGGAGGGGGAAAATTAGTAAAACCCTTAAAAAGACTCCATTCTAGCTGGAGAGATAAGGAATAACAACATTAGAGATATCACAAGGCAATATTCAAAATAGTTCCACCAAGGAGAAAATTCATGGTTTAAACCTTGAAAGATACCAAGATTGAACTATGAATAAAAAGCAAACCTGGCGGGGGAAGGTAGAAAATAGCAAAAGCAAAAATAAAAGAGTATTAGATTCTTTTCAAAACCCACCTTAAGAGAAACCTCAAGGAACCTTCCGAAATCATAAACGCCTCATTAACTTAGTCTGGAACACAATATTCTAGTGGACCAAGGCATTGGAAGATTTGGAAGTGATTTGCTGTCTGGGGGGGAAGGAGGGTCAACATTACCTTTTACTTTGCTTCTTGCTATAGAAAGGAAAATATACTAGAGATTCCAACTTTATGCAAACATGACAAATAAACATGACTGCACCTAGGAACCTATTTTGGTTCTTACAAAAGCAGCATACCTAAAGTTATAACCTTTTACTTTTTTTGTTTTAAATTGGTTTTTCAAATTAATGTTTAAATGACACACTTTTACAAGGTTCAATTAAAATCTGATGTGCTGAACAGAATTTATGGGACTGTAAAAGGATATTGCTAGCTTGCTATGAACTACTCAGAAGAACCATACAGAGGCAGGATTAATTAAATAAAAGCTGTTAAGAAGTACCCCTAACCCAATTGGTGTGGTTCAGTGGTTGAGCCAGGACAGGGTACACGCCTGGTTGTGGGCTCTATACCCAGTAGGGGGCATGCAGGAGGCAGCCGATCTATGATTCTCTGTCATCACTGATGTTTCTCTCTCTCTCTCCCTCTCCCTTCCTCTCTCAGACATCAATAAAATAAGTAAAATAAATTAAATCAATAAAGAATAAAGTTTAAAAAAAGAGAAGTGCCCCTAAAGAGGAGATTTGCAAGGAAACTTGGCTGCAAAAATACTATTTATGTTAGAACTTTGAATGGGTTGGCTTTAAGAGATCATGAAAATGGTCCTGCCAGTTTCATGGAAAGCTATATAACACACCCACAAAAGTATAAGATCAGAGACATGGTAAATATGAGAAAGCACAAAAGTAAAGTGAAAGATAATGTAAATTTTAAGGAGCTGCAAATCCTCCAAAAACAATGAAATGTATGTAGCTTCAAAATATGTAGCCTGTGTAACTTGGCAAAACACCACTAGATAAAAAAACAGGTGAGAAAAGACTGTACATAATAAAACTAAAGAATAGCATACAGGCTGTAAAGACAAAAAAAGTCCTTTCCTTTCCTTTGCTCTGGCCTTCCACAATTTATGAGAAGCACCTGGTAATTAAACCACAAGATTATTGGCTCCTCTGATTCAAACAGCCCTTCTGTTCAAACTACAGGACAAGATAAGCTACTCCCAAGGCTACATCCTTGCATCCCCCTCCTCCTCCCTGATATTTTATCAACACAGGAATAATTCATGCCAAAGTAGTCTCTAGTTAGTAGAAAAGTTCCTGTCCCTACTCCCCTTCAAACAAGCCTCTTGGAACTCTTCATTGACTTTTGTTCTAAGCATGTTTTACAGGCGTGGGAAAAATGCTGATAAGACACCTCCTTAGGACATCTGCGGGACTGTCTCCTGGAAAGCAAAGTAACTTTTCAAGACAACCCGCCCTGGTATCTGCTCTTCAACAGAATCCTCCCTCCTTCTTTGCAATAGCCATTGCTTAAAAGAGCAAGCAACCTTTGGTTCCCAGCCTTGTACTGACTAGCAATACTTGACCCTTTGCTCCTTTGAAGTAAAAAAATTTTCCTCTCTGCATCTCTTCTTCTAATGGCGAATTCTTTCACAGCCTCAGTCACTAGCCAAACCGCAACACAGACTGTCAGACAAAAGATAAAACACTGCTATCCCTAAAAGCTACTCTAATCTAGTAAACCAACCTCATAAGAAAGACCAGTGTGTCAGAGTAGATTTGATTTAAATAAAATTTAAGTCATTTATCAGGAGATTATATAGTCTTCCTTCAACCCCAGTAAACTCAAGTAGAGAAAGGTCCTTTTCTATCACTTCCCTGCTGTCTCAAACAGTGCCTGGCACATAGTAAGTTTTTAATAACTACTTACTAAATTATTAAAAGGATACAATCATCAAACCAAGTTTGCACTTCATGGAGAGAGCTATGCATAGAAATATACGTGGATGACTTAGATTTTTATCCTTGATCTTGAAATAGAGCTGCCTATGTTCTCTGAAATAAAGCCAGTTTCAGAAATAAAAGAAAGCTTTTCTTTAATGCACAATGGGATATTTTGGATTCAGTGGTTTTTAAACTGGACAGACTGGTTTTGTTCTACATAACCCCTATTTCCTAATAAAGAATATCTTTGAGTTTCCTCTTGCAAAGATCCAAGTGGTAAAATACTCCTTTTGCAAACAAAAGATACACTATGCATATCCTTTCACAGCCAGTGATCTGACAAACCTACGTCATATGTTCAGTAAACATCCATCAGGCACACAAAAGCAAAATCGGTATTGTCTCTATAACTCAGAACAGATTAAAACACCATGCTGGCAATCAACCAACCCAATTTGTCTAACTATACAGGTGACCCTTGAACAACATGGCCTGAACTGCATGGGTCCACTTATACATGCCTTTTTTTTTCCTCCCCAATAAATACCCGTATTGCTTTCATCAGCAGTTAGGAGTCCAGGGATGCAGAGGGCTGACTGTATGCATTGATTTATGCCATTTTATATAGGAGACTTGAGAATCCTTTGATTTTAGTATCTGTGGGGGTCCTGGAACCAATCTATCCCCCACAGATTCTGAAGAACAACTTAAGTTTTGGGGCAGTCAAAAGTTATACATGGAATTTTTTACTGTGTGGGGAGTAAGAGCCCTTGACCCCCTCATTTTTCAAGGGCCAACTGTATACAGGAAACACCAGAAAAACGAGAAAAGGAAGTTCACACAAGTAAATATTCTGAAGATTATTCAGTGAAAGGACCTTAGTTATACCACATATGTTAATGCCTAGATAGTGGACTATGAAATTTCAGAACTTATGTTGAGAATAAGTCAACAGAGGTAGAAAATAGGTAATTTAAAAGTTTAAAGATCACTCAAAAACTCAAACAAAAACTTCATGAAATGCAAAAACTCACATTTCAGGAAGATAGTGGTATTTTTGAAGAGGATCTTTCCAAAACTAAAATAATTTTTTCCCTGCAAAGATAAAGGAGAAAGGTAATTAGCATGAGAACAATTCCCAAGGCAGAAACTAAATAGTATAAAAACCTAAATTTATAAAAATGTTCAAGCTCATTTTCTTAACAAACAAACAAAAAAAGGCAACTATAGCCTCCCTTATAGTAAAATTCCACGATATCCAAACTGCAGGATTTTGAAACTTGGTACAGACACGGTCCCTCCCCCCTGCCCCCCTCCTCAGGCTATGAGGCAGGTACTCTAGAAGGAAGGCTGCAAGAAATCCCAACCTAAATCGTCACAGGAGGTACTCGGTCTTCAGCTCATCCCCTTTACCCACTCATCACTGGCTAAAAAAAAACACAAACTATCCTATGAGAAGATAGCCAGATTTAACTCATTTTAGTAACAAGTAAACACCTAGGATTGAGAACCTAAAGTTCTCCACCGAATGAACAAAAGCTATCGTGCTTGCCACATAAAAGCTCAAGTAAGTTTGGGGCATTTCAACCCGTGAGCGGAGCAGAATGCAACAAAAAGGCCGCGGTGGTTTCAGCCAGTGCTCACACTTTTCCGCACGTCCTACCTGCATCTGATTGCTACCTGCTCACAGGACGATGGCTCTTATTCCAATGGAGTTTAAAAAGGGGGAAAAGGGACAGACAGAAAAGGTAAACCTACCTAGCTAATGGTCCACAAGCAAGACCAGCCTTACCATATCAAATTTCAGAATGCTATGTCTTCCACTTTAGCCGTTCTAGTATTAGAATACATTTTGCTAATGCCTAGGACTCCTAATCACACGGCAACACTTAGAATAACCAACCATTCTAAGGTTCAAACGAAATCATCCAACTTCGTGCGTAGAGCTAGCTATCCAGCAACAAAAAAGTGCAGAGGGGAGGAAAGAAAGACGCCTGTTTACCTATCCCTCTTCCCCAACCCGGGGTCCCTGAATTCTGGAAAACTTCACCTGGAAGAGAAACCACTCTCGACCTGTACATCGCGGTTACCTGTCTCAGGCCAGGCACCCAAAGTTCTCTGACTTGGCTACGAAACCGCTCCCCGCTCCTCCCCGCTCCCGGCGTGGCCCCGACACTCCCGCTCATCCACCCACAGAAATTCGCGGCTTCCCGCTCCCGGGAGGTGGGCCCCAGCGAAGCAACCGCAAGGACACTCCCGGCGATCCCACCCCTTTGGAAGCGGACTTTCGCAGAGCCTTCATGGACCCCTTGGGCCGCCGTAGCCCCACCCCTCGCTCCTCCGGGCTCCGTGGCTTCGGAACACTCACCGACGGTACTGGAATGTGCCACTTGGACCGGTCGGCAGCAGCGACGGGTACCGGCCCTGCGCCCAAAAGCGACCATGGGGACGGTTGAGCCCCCAGAAGAAGAATGACAGGCAGCACCTGAAGCCACGCAGCCGCCGCCATCTTCACAGCCTTGGAGTGTCTACCGACAGCATTTCACCTCCTTCCGGCTCGTCCCGCCCTCTTCCGGCTCTGCTTGGGGAGGGGGGCGGGGGCGGGCCGGATCATCCGGGTCCTCGCGCCCTCGCGAGGTTCGTTTGTTTGGCGACGCAGCGGCCCCGCCCTCCTGATGTCGTCACCGCTCGGTGCGAGGCTTTGGGGGAACTGCGCAGGCGTCGTTCTGTCATTTCCCCCTGGTCACCTTGGTGAGTTCGGATGGTCTCCAAAAGCCGCCCGCCTCAGGCGGCTCTGCTCTCGCCCAGCCCTGCACAGGTTTGGGGACGAGGCCAACACCCCATGAGTGTTTGGCTCTCCGCCTCCTGTTCGCTCCTGCCCCTTATCCCGTCAAAGTCAAAGGACTTCGGGGCCAGAAGTCCGGGAAGCCGCCATCATCTGGCTGCCTGGTTAGGGTCTAGCAGTGCGTTATCGGTGTCTGGAGTTTTAATGACTGGAATGTGGCGGTGGTGCAGCATAAGCGATTCCTAAACTGGAGAGTATAGTATATAACCTCTTTTAAAAAGCCCCTTTTAGCTCTGAAAAGTGTGACGCTAACTGCAGGGTCTGGGTGGAGAATATAAAGCCCCAGCAAAGACCTGGCCGGCACCTCCCACTCAGAATGTAAGGCGGGGAGGGAGTGGGTCGGTTTTGCGTAAATGGCGCGACCGGCACTGAGCTAGACCTGCAGAAGCCTCGCCGCAATCAGGCAGGGCCGGCCATCTGGGTCCTTCCTGGCTTTCATGCTCTGAACATTTTCATCCGCTAGAACTCGGCGTACACGCCCCCTCTGCTGCAAAGGCAGTTTCGGTTTCTGACGACAGCAGTTTCTCATCGGCCACTCATTACCAAGAAAAAATTTGCCCAATAAAATAAGTCCCTAGAGAAACGCTCGGCCGGGGCTGGAAATTCCAGGAGGAAGAGTCGGATTGTCACTCCTTACGTATTTGGAGGGGACTCCCGTTCCCAGACACTTGAGGACAGGGAAGTGCTGGTGATGGGTTTAGACAGAGGGCTGTCCTCGTTCCGAAAAGGTCGCCAGGGACTTGGACCGAGAGCCTGGAGCCTGTGAAGTGACTTGGAAACCATGGAAGTATCCGAAAAAGAGGAAATCAGGTAAAGACCCAGCGGTCCTGCAGGGACTGACTCCAGGGCCCTGGAAGGCCTGCAAGCAACATTCTGGCTTTGACGTTTTTATTGTTTGATTGCACTTCTTATCTGCATGCTTTGTATGTGTGCATTTACTCTTTATCGGTTTTTTTCTCACTTCCCCGGGGATTAGTTGATATTAATAGCTAGACCTTCATAAAATATTTTCAGGATGGTTAACAACCCTGGAAGAGTTGTGATCAGAATTCTAACCCATGAATTTCAAGCATGTTGCTTACAAAGTTCGGCTGTACCCACCTCTTCCCATGTCATTCTTCAAAGCTGGAAACAGAAGGCTGCCAATTTCTTAATCTTTGCACACTTAATTAAAAGAAACAGTAACGAAGACTGAGGGATTTGATTACTTCCATGATAAATCATTTTTTAGTATGGCCAAGTATGTCTGTCTGGACTTGTTTTCATATTTTGAAATTGGTGTTCAGTCACAGCTTTAATCATGGACATGCTGACTGTAGCTGCATTCAGCCACATCTCTGCATGATGTTTTCCCCCCTTTATACCTTGTAGTTGTTAATGGGCATATGTTAAATACATAATCTCAATTAGCAATATATATACATTTTGTTCATGTTCTAGTCCAGAACCAGCTTTTCTGGAAAGTTGGTCTTAAAAAACACTGACACCTAGATTGTCATCATCATCATAAAAAGCTAAAGATTTTTCTTCTACACCTGTTTCCCTTCTTACTCTAGCACCTTGCACATAACTCTATTGTAGCATTTGTCAGGTTGATTTGTGATTGTTGGTTAGGCTCTCACAGAAATCATGGACAGTCTTTAGTATCTTCCTCAGAACCCAGCATTCAGCAAGAATATTCTGAAAATATTTTGTTGAATAAGTAAATGGATGGATTGGTTTTGTTTGATTTGGGTTTTTTTGTTTGTTTGTTTTTGCTCCTTCAGATTTTATTGTTGTATTCATAGCCTTCACTAATTATTTTATTTTATAAGTTTAATTTATTGGGGTGATATCTGTTAAATTATATAGGTTTCAGGGGTACAGTTATATAATACATCAACTGTATATTGTCTTGTGTGTTCACAACCCCAAGCCAAGCCTCCTTCCATGACCATTTTTCGCTCATTATTTTAAAAGAACCCTTCCCCTGCCCTAACCAGTTTGGCTCAGTGGATAGAGCGTCAGCCTGCGGACTGAAGGGTCCCAGGTTCGATTCCGGTCAAGGGCATGTACCTTGGTTGCAGGCACATCCCCAGTGGGGGGTGTGCAGGAGGCAGCTGATCAGTGTTTCTCTCTCATCGATGTTTCTAACTCTCTATCCCTCTCCCTTCCTCTCTGTAAAAAACCAATAAAATATATATTAAAAAAAAAGAATGGATAGGATTAAAATCAACTGGAAAAAAAATAAAATAAATAAAAATAAAAGAACCCTTCCTCATAAGTGACAGTGCTCTTTTTCTACTAATTTCAGAGTAATCCCAAACGTCATGTTTTGTTCTTTACCACGGATGATGTCTAAAAGGATCCTGTACTATAGCACAGGTTATTGTGTTATGTGATGGCCATGACACAATTTTGCATTGCAGAGGTTTACTTCTCATGATCATACTGTAGTTAGAGAGGGACAAATAATGGATTCACAAACCCTATGTAAAATAACTCTTAAAAATATCTGTTTATTTAGTGTTGAAGATGAAGCTGTGGATAAAAACATTTTCAAAAACTGCAGCAAGATTGCTTTCTACAGGTAAGGAGAGGAAATTAATTCCTTAGATCGAAATATTTCTGACCTTATTTCAAAACTGATGTTTAATAAATTTTGAGAACTGATAGGCTTTATAAGGAAAGAACCAATTAGGAAATTTGGTGATTAAGGAATTTATCCCAGACATTTGCCTTTAACTTTATATACCTACTGCTGTAGTATTTTTATCTTTATTGTTGAAAGTATTACAGATGACTACTGTAGTATTTAAATTTTCAGTAAATAGGTTATTTTAAAAGTCTAAGCGCTTTTAAATGATGTTAAAACTTTGTCTTTTAATAGATAATACATTTACATGGTTCAAAAATCAAATAATACAAAAATATATACAGTGGGGCCTTGACTTACGAGTGTCCCGACTAACGAGTTTTTCGAGATAGAGCCGTCTCTCGGCCGATTTTTTTGCTTTGAGTTGCGAGCTAAAATTCGGGTTACGAGCCAGCTTCAGATACCCCCCCGCTAGTTGGCGCAGCGAACGTCACAGTGAACGCCAGTGATTTGACATACAAGTAATTTGAGTTACGAGCTCCATCACGGAACAAATTAAACTCGTAAGTCAAGGCCCCACTGTATATTGAAAAATTATGTTCATTCCTGTTCCCTTACACCCAATTCAACATCTTGTCCTTGTAACCAGATTAATTTCTTATTTATCCTTCCAGTAATTTTTGTGACTGCATATCTTCTTATATCACCATCCTTCTTATACCAAGTAGTTTTCTATCTACTATTGTGTACCTCTTTTTGCCTGCTTCATAGTTTATTCTGAAGAGCTTTGCATGAGTATATGGGGATTGTCCTCTCTTTTTACAGCTTTATAGTATTCCATTTGGGTAAATGTACTATAATTTATTCAGTTTTTCTCATATTGGTAGACTTTGGGGCTGTTTTGATATACTAGCTCTGCCACAATGAAAAGCTATGCATATGTCATTTCCTATACATGCAAGCGTATTTATAAGATAAATTTCCGGGATTGGGATTACTGGGTCAAAGAGTAAATGTATTTGAAATTTTAGTTATTACCAGATATCCCTCCATAGGACTGTATCATTTTGTACTTCCACCATCACTATATAAGATTGCCTGTTTCCCCAGAGCCTTATGTGATCCTGAAATTGAAATCACCAAAAATTGTATCATATATTACAACTTCCTAATTTATTCACACTACTCTAGAGGAAGAAAATTCTATCATTTTCATTTGAACAAGTACCTTAGAGGGAATTGTAGAGTGAACTCCTGGTCACCTTGTTAAACCACTAGATTATGTTGATTTCTACGAGAAATTACTGAGTTTTTATTAAAGTGTACATTTCATGGAAAGAGGGAGTGAAATTAATAAGCTAATAAAAGTCATCTATGAAAACTGCCCCACCTTCTCAGTAAAGGGGACAAGGGACCATCTTTTAGTAGTGTTATGTTATAAACGCTTTTATTAGTATTTTTCTTGGTACTATTAATTTTATTAGCACTCTAATAACAAAGTACTCCTGTTAGTACTTTATTGGAATACTATTACTGTCTGTGCCTAATTCACTTACTATCATAGTAAATTTTAATGACTTGTCCCTGGTAATATAGTCTATTGAATGTTGACAGTCACAAATAATTCTCAGGCATCTGTACACTTCACATCTGTAGGCGCCAGAAACAGCAGCTCTCCAAGAAGTCCACCTATCAGGCATTACTAGACTCAGTCACAACAGGCAAAGACAGCACCAGGTTCCGAATCATAAATGAAGCAACTAAGGTGAGATACAAGTATTTTCTACAAAGAATTATTTATTTCTACTTTTATTTGGGTTGAATGAAGTAAATTTCCACAAAGGCTAATTAAAACTATGTATGTTTTAAAAATAAACTTTGTTAGGGAAGTACTATAAACTTTTTCATATCTAACTAATATTACTTTAAAAGTAATATGAATATCAAGAGTATAGGTTGCCTGTATATCAGATGGTTTCCTAGATGTTTTACAAATGTTATTTCCTCTTAAGTAGTCTTCATATTACATTTCAAAGGCTTATCATATTATCCCCAATTTTCAGATAAGGAAATTGAAGTCTAAAAAGTCACTTGCTCAAAGTCACAGCTAGTAACCAGAATCTTTACTAGTGACAGCTTCTAACCAGGATTTTCACCTGCATCTGTGAACTCTATCAAGCGACCATGCTCTTTCTATCACTATTGCACAACATACAGTTGATCGTGCAGCCTGAGCATGGTACAGATTCAGTGAATGTCCAAACCTTAAATTGTGGGTAGGCAAGAGGAGCAAGGGACTGTGCGGTTGAAAAAGCGAAGCCACAAATGTCCCATCTCCTAAGCTGCTTCACTGGCAGATCACCTTAGTTAAGATTAGAGCAGTATTATATTCTAAGTTCTTTTCCTCACCTATCAAGTCACCAAACTACTTCAGATGGGCCATACAGATGGGCTAGTCATAGAAGAAGTGCTATGGGCTGGGCTAGGAAGTGTGACTATGCACAAATACCTGGTGCTCCCAACTTTACCCTCGTTTCCAGATCCTCTGCCATCTTTGAAAGGCATCCTAAGCTTCTACGGCCTCCCAGACCAATCTGGCTTAATTGGAAACTCATAAAACTGGAAGACATACTTAAAACCATGTTGTCTAGGTCCCTAATTGGTTGGATAGTAACTCCACCCACTCACTAAAAAATACAAGTTCTGAGAAGTAGATGGAGACGAAATCCCCACTTCCACTGCAAAGCTGTGAGAGGTCTCCTGGCAACTACCATAGCTCTGGTTCTATAGTACCACACTGAGGAATCTCCTCTGAGAAGATAGAACAAAAACTACCCTGCAAAACCGGGTTCTCTGTAACATTTGTAAGGCCTTTAATTTAGGCCACCAACTTATTCTCAGATAGAAGGAGTAATTACACAATGAGGAAGGCTACCTTACTTAGGAAGTGCTAAAGATGTTAGCTTATTTCATAGTTGTGGGATTTTCTAATGTAGCTTTCTTTTTATCTTCTTTTTTAAATATATTTTTATTGATTTCAGAGAGGAAGGGAGAGAGAGAGAGAGATAGAAACATCAATGATGAGAGAGAATCGTGGATCAGCTGCCTCCTACACACCCCCTACTGGGGATCGAGCCTACAACCTGGGCATGTGCCGTGACTGGGAATGGAACTATGACCTCCTCCTGGTTCATAGGTAGACTCTCAACCACTGAACCACGCCAGTTGGTCTGACATAGCTTTCTTGCCCGAATTCAAAGTAGAGACTGGAATCATATCAACAGTTCTGTGTTCTCTATCCCTGTTCCCTGTCCCCAGCTTCTGTTTACTTGAGGATGTAGTTATGGTGGCAGTACACTTAGTTTATCTCTTTTAACTACACAGATGGGACGGTTAGCCTTTCTCCAAAATTGAGTGCTGCTGCTTATACCACCCATTTTTTTCTGGAGGATTTTGTCCCCTTTGAGTTCTCAGCTCATGATATCCCTGAAGTTACAGATCCTCTACTGCTGATTGAAGTCTTCCAAACTATACATCCTTTTGTAGCCTAATTTGATAGCTGTTCATGGGAAAACATGGGGCAGCACTAATTTCTTTCCTAGAGAGCCACCTGACATTTGTGTGTGGTCTAATTGCCTGACACCCAGCCAAACACCTGTATTCAGGGTCAGCAGAGGCAGTTGGCTCCAGGAAATGCAAGGAGTCCACCAGAGACCTTCCAGGAGGCATTAGGCCTCCTACCAAAAGTCAGGTACCTTTCCTGTCTCATTTTGCCCATCATTGTTCATTTTCCTTCCTGTCCCCAGTGTGTCTAACCCTAGAAAGTTGTAGATGCCATCCCTTTCCATCCTTGGGGAGGCTTAGTATATTGAGCACCACCTGAACAATCCAGTGTCATGATGACACACACTGAGGCAAAGTAAATGAGGCAAAAGCACCCTGTATACCAGGGTGGGCCAAAATGAAAATTCTCAATACAGCTTGGTGCCCATGCAGTTAGTGGTAGATTCCCCACATACGGCCTTTTTCAGACTATAGATCACTTTCTCTCCACATACCTCTCTTTGGATCCTGAAAATGTGAGGGATAATGCTGTTCAGATCAGGTGCTAGAACCAGAACCCACCAGATCTGGATGCCTTCAATGGAAAAGAAACCACAGTCCAGGAGGACCCACAGGATCTCAGCATAAGACAGCACATGGCTCAGAAGGGTCAAACTGAGAAGCCCAACAAGCAAAGACAAGTTATCCAGATGTCAGCAACATGGCTCCCAAGACTGAGAACTTCGAGGACCCCTTGAAACAGACCTCATTTTCAGGTATTGGAAACATCAGGGCCACCTAGGGAATCTACATACCCTGATCTCAGGCAAATGCATGCAAATGTATATGTTTTGGGAGGTCACCCTGAAATTCTGAGCTGAACTCCATTTTAATGAGATGACTGATAGGGATTTAAGACCTTATGCCCTCTGTCAGTTTGATAGGGACAAAAAAGATCCAGACAGTAATCTCTGAAGTTGTCTGAGCCTTGTATCTCACTTACTGCATAGTCAAGGAGTCTCTGTTAGAGCTTGTTTCTGGGATGCGATTGGTGTTTTATGGTGATTTCACATTAGCCTATGGTATGGGTGTAGTCTGGAGATTTAAAACAAGCTGCATACATCCACTTATTCAGAATAACAGCTTTTTATTTGAGGTTCAGAGAAATAGAGCCTAAAATGCAAGAGGATCCTATTCAGCTCACAGCTGTAGTTCTCAGATTTCACTGATGAGACAGATTCTGACAAAACCAGCACTCTTAGTGCCTGCCTCCCCGACACCTTTAAACTCTTGAAGCAGTAACCTTGTTAGCAAGATCTGTTGTTAATTTTTGAAATCCTTCTTCCCAATACCCAACTCCCAATCTGCCTTTTAATAAGCAATCAGGAAACAACCAGGCTTCATTCAACATTATCTTAAGTCAGCTCAGGCTACCATAACAAAATACCATAGAGTGGATGTCTTAAAAGACATCTATTTCTCACAGTTCTGGAGTCTGGGAAATCCAAAATCTAGGTGTCTGTTGAGGATTCTATCTCTGGCTTATAGATTGTCATCTTCTTGCTGTATATTTACATTACAGAGAGAGAGCTAACTTTCTGGTCTCTTCTTGTAAGGGCACTAATCCCATCATGACCCCACCCTTATGACCTCATCTAAACCTTATCACCTCCCAAAGGCCCCATCTCCAAATACCATCACACTGAAGGTTAGAGCTTCAATACATGAATTTGGGGGGACACACAATTCAGTCATAGCAAACATGATGTTCCTGGGACACAGTAATCTATGTATATAAAAGGCTAATATGCAAAGTGTCCCCACGGGCGTTTGACCGGGAGACTAGGAGTTCTATCACTCACTATGATGTGCGCTGACCACCAGGGGGCAGCGCAGAATGAAGGAAGGCCCCAGCCGGCAGCCAGGGAAGGGAGGCCCCGGCCGGCAGCCAGAAGGCCCCAATCAACCCTGATTGCCGGCCAGGCCTAGGGACCCTACCCATGCATGAATTTCGTGCACCGGCCTCTAGTGTTATAATACAAGCTGAAGTATTACCCTGTGTATTATCTCCAGGTCATGCTCTGGACATCTAGGCTTTGAAGAAGAAATGGTTACAGGTTCAAATGCATATATTTTCTCAGTAGGGTCCCAGTGTAGTATCTTGCCTATTTCTGATGACAGAATAATAAGGTAGATATTTGATAAAGAAGCTTACAGAAGAAAATCTAAAAAGAAAGGAGTTATCAATAAAATGTTGACAGCTTTTTTTAGAACTGTTTTTTGTTGTAGTGGTTTCAGTTTTTTACCTTCAGTGAACATTTGGCCGGGATTGAAAAAGATAGAAGACCTAGTCTTATGACATCAGAGCAGGGAAATTTATGCTGTCTTCTGAGTCTAACTAAAAAGCTATATCTTGTCTTTTACCTACTTCATATTGCTAATTTTGATGCTTTCTCATGACACATTTACTTTCTTTTGCAGCCTGTTTGCAAGTTTTCAACAGAGACAACTCTTCTAGCAGCTTCTCCAAGGATGAAGGGATATATCTGAGCACCTCCATGAAGTAACCCCTTGCCTCTTCATCTAAGCCTGATGAACATAGGACTTTGCCTAACCAGCTACCTCCTCAGCAGATGAGGCACAACTACCACTTAACCAACACTGTTTCTGCAGAAATGGCCAGGAACAGGCAGCTAATTTGGAAACTGGCCAAACAGTCAGAAGCACACCTGGACAGGCTAATTGTACTTGGAGAATGGGCATTAGCCCAGCACGAACTTGCTAACATTCTCCATAGAGAATTGGTGCTTGCAATCAACCAACTGGCTGCAACTATGAAAGGGACAGTTGGTTCCCTACGGCAATTTAATTAAATCTTAGACCATTTTCTGCATCCCTGGAGGTCTTGATCAAGAGGTTATTGCTGAGAGAGGTTTTTGCTCACTCTTCTAGGCCTTTTAGGTTAAATGTTCCATACGGTATAGTAGAGAGACCTGGTGCCAGAGGAAAAACAAGAACTCTGTCCATCAGGGATAACTTGATGAGGTCATAATTTCCCTTTTTAATACCCACTGCCGTTTAAATGTGTGTTTTAGGGGCATTTGTTAACTCAGTCACAGTCTCTAGTAGTTGTGATTCCCAGTTCTGGGTGAACAAAAAGTTTTTTGGTTTTTTAAAAATATATTTTTCTTGATTTCAGAGAGGAAGGAAGAGGGAGAGATAGAAACATCAATGATGAGAGAGAATCATTGATTAGCTGCCTCCTGCATGCCCCCTACCGAGGATCGAGCCTGCAACCCAGGCATGTGCCCTTCACCAGAATTAAACCTGGGAACCTTCAGTCCAAAGGCCGACACTCTATCCACTGAGCCAAACCAGCTAGGGCAAAAAATTTTTGTTTTAATATAATTATGATCAAGCCACTAGAATACATAGTCAAGACTGTTTCTACTGCCATGATTTTTACAACCTGTCTGATATTTTTGCCCATATAGCCAAAAAAACTAGACTTATGGATGACAGACCAGGTTTTGTATTGAGTATGGGAGAAATCAAATAGGAAAAGGGAATTAATACTCTTTACCAAACTATGAGAGGTGTACCTCTGAATAAAGGTTTATGAAAAAAACAAATAGAGACTTTTACTAAAAGGAACCTCCAAAATACATTCCTTTCTCTGAGGATTTATCTCATCTTCTCTGTGTAGGTGGACATTTACACATCTTAAACTTTTTAAAGGTGTAAAGCCCATGCTGTCTCACCTCATTTAAAATGTTATATATTTCTTTACTTATTTTACATAAATCCATCTTGCTGCAATTTGAGTGTAACTGCTACTATTATCTAAGTATTAACACTAAATCTTAATTGAAGTGATCTAACTTAAATGTTATCTTAACATATTTTTCATTGTCAGTTCCAATCATCACTAAGAGGAAGAGAATGGACAATTTATTTGTATATTATTGTTTAATAACTGTCCAGACAGGTCCCTAGAGAACAGGAATATCTAGAAATTCTTAATGTTTTAGATAGAATAAAACATTCATGTCCAGACTTTTAAAAAATATATATTTTTATTGATTTCAGAGAGGAAGGAAGAGGGAGAGAGAGAGAAACATCAACAATGAGAGAATCATTGATCGGCTGCCTCCTGCACGCCCCACACTGGGGATTGAACCCACAACCCAGGCATGTGCCCTGACCGAATCAAACCCAGGACCCTTCAATCCACAGGCCAATGCTCTATCCACTGAGCCAAACTGACTAGGGCCAGACTTCTTGACAGAGCAAGGTTTTGGTGGAAGAATTGGGCAATAACTGGCAGTTAAGAAGCCCAGGGAAGTGGTTCATAAACTGTCAGCCACAGAGCCCTGAGGCTTCCATGGAGGTGCCTCACACTCCATGCAGAGAGGGGCGGGGGCTTAAAGGTCAGGGTTGTGAGCTACTCCCCACTATCTTCAACCTGAATAGCTTTTCTTATTGAACTTCTGAGCGTCCACTGCTGTTTAAATAAAAAATTTTAAGCCACTAAAAACAGCATGAAACAGATCATAGGAGCAAATGTATACTAAGGAAATTATGTGCTTGGAACATGAAGCTATGTTGGTGGTAAAAGATAAGAATGAGTCTAGATATTGGCCTTAAAAAGAGTTAACCTAATTGGAAAAATTGGCTTGCTTAATTAAGTTAAAAAGACAACAAAATGGGGCTTTGTAAGTTTGGTTGCATAAGGTTATTGTGTAAAAGCAGGGTTATTGCTACCTCCTCTCATATAATTCGGATTCTTCCCTAGGATACAGCTTCAAGAACAAAACATACAGACCAGTCTTTGTTTTAAAAAACAATTTTTTAAAAGCAATTTCACTAAAATAGTAGGATCTCTGAGTGCATAAATTAGACACAATTTGTTAATCATATATAGACAGACAACCCATGTACCCTCTGCTTAACATTTCCCCCCCCATTTTTGCCTCCCAAACTCCCTGAAGGCCCTGCTCAAGTCCGTCTTCCTCCGGAGAGATTTCCCAGAACCCCTCTTCTTAGAATCATCATTAATATTCCCCTTATTTGTTCTCCCACAGCACATTCCTTGTCCTTCTAGCTCAGCGTAAAATGCTTTATGTTTACTATGTATGTTTTGTCTGTAAATTACCATCTCCCTAAGAGTACAGCCATCTTTTTCGCAACGAACAGCGCATCACAATATTAGATAACAAGTAAATGTTAGTTGAATTGAATTTGGGAGGGCAATAGAAATATATGTCTAATTTGGAAAAGAATGTGTAATCTAACAGGATTTTAGCTTTATATTTGGATACATTTTCAAATTTAGAATTCTGACAGTACACTAATTCAAATATATAAAAGAACTTTAAACACCTAATCAAGAATTACAGTATGATGGAGGTCAGGGGGAAGAGGGTATGTTGGTCAAAGACTACAGACTTTCAGCTCTAAGGTGAATAACTTCTAGAGATCTAATGTACAGTATAGTGATTATAGTTAATAATACTCTTTTATATACTTGAAAGTTTCTAAAAGTAGATCTTAAATGTTCTCACCACAAAAAGATGATAATTATGAGACATGATGCACTGTTAACTAAGGCTATGGTGGTAATCATTTTGCAGTATATAAGTGTATCAACACATTGTACACATTAAACTTATACAATGTGATATACCAACTAGAGGCCCGGTACATGAAATTCGGGCACGGGTAGGGTCCGTAGGCCTGGCCAGCGATCAGGGCAGATCGGGGCCTTCTAGCTGCTGGCTGGGGCCTTCTTTCTTGCTGCTGGGCCAGGGCCTCCCTTCCCTAGCTGCTGGCCAGGGCCTTCATTCCGTGTCACCCCCTGGTGGTCAGCGCTTATCATAGTGAGGGATTGAACTCCCAGTCGAACTCCCAAGGGGACAATCTGCATATTAGGCATATATATACATACATACATACATACATACATATACACACACACGATTACATTTCAATAAATCTGGGGCAAATAATTACAATATGATTACTACTACAACGTAACCCTGTCTTTAAAATGTCTGTAAAAGCAGCCACTGCACTGTTTACCTGGTCACTCTTCAGTGTCATATCACTGTTTAAGTGCCCTGACTACTTTTCTATATTCCCCAAAGTGAGGTTCCAGTAACATCGCTTTTTTTGGTGCTGCTTTGATATTCTCCTACTTCCTATCTCTTACTTGCACACTGCATCTGCTCTATACTATGTCACACAACCTACCCAGCTTAGCCTTTCATTTTACAAACATAGTAACAATGTCCCCAGTAATAACCAAATTTGCCATCACACTTAAGGATTTGCAATCCACCAGTGTGTCATGGCACAACAGTTGAAAAACACAGAGAGCCCCAATGACCACTGTTTTACTCCCCCTATTCTATTCTATTCTATTCTATTCTATTCTATTCTATTCGATGGCTTGTTACTCTTCATCTTTCATTCAGCTGGAATCCAGTTACTCTAGTTTTAACATCAAACTCTTATTCTCTAGACATCTATAGTTTGTCAGAGATACAGTGGTCATATGTCCCAATTTTGCAAGAGCAGTTTCAGTTTATATGTGTAATCCAGTATAATAATTAATAGAGACCATAGTCTAATAATTTATAGTCTAATAATTTATACTCTTGAAGGTCCTGGTCCAGACAATTACGTTTTCCTAGCCATACAACACATAGAAGGTATTTCTTGTCTCCCACAGGTATAGCCAAGCAAGTACATACATAGATTGGGGAGCTTTATTTCTTCATGATTGCCATTATTCTCCAGTTTGCTTGGCCTGTAATAATTCAAACATAGTTTTCTAATTATTGTCATTTGACTGTAGAACTGATCATCACTGGGTTAACCTATGGAAATTAATCTCATATGTCTGTGCCCAGGTTCCTCTTTTGGCTGAAGTTTTTGGTATAGAGGGAAATATTTTCAGGCTTAAAATCAATGAAGAAACTCCCCTGAAGCCCAGGTATGAAGTCCCAGATGTCATCACAAGCAAACCAAGTACTGTAAGGTAAGCCAAGGATCAAAATATCTTGAGTACACCCTCACTGTGTTATTTTATCACACTTTGAGTAGTAGATTTTGTGTACACCTCATAGTTTGTCTATTCAAATCCACAATCGCTTGCAGAGTTAGTTTCCATTTTGTAAATTATCCATTCTGTTTTCTCATCTACCATTTGACTCATCAACACTTATTAAAGGATAGAGCCGGAGCTTTTGATCCCTTCTTTCCTCACAAAGCAAACAGTTGATCAGCCAGACTTTTGGGAGCAAATAGAAGAAGAGCTATTTCATTTACTTACTCTGATTATCACAGGGCTCCAGAGATCTAATACACTAGCCAAACTCCCATGCTTACAGTTAGATTGACTCACTTTTAATTAAGGGTAGTCTTAGAAGTGTAACATCTAATTGATTTAGAGCAGAGATTAATTAACAGTCAGTCTCTAGGTGAAATAAAATCTTTGGGGATTAAAGCATTTTCATATACCTGCAGAATCTTTATCACTTCTCAGCACACTTTCCAGTGATATCTCAGCTTGGTTCTGCCTGTGGACTTCTGTTATTTTTTCATATTATTCCCCTAAAGGAATATAAGATTATGCCAGATGCTTTAATTTTCACTACATTATCATAGTTTTATGTAGATTATTTTTCCATAAAAAATAATTTTTATTATTTCAATGAAAATAAAAGATCAGTAGGTTATAAGGAGAAATTAATTCAGTTATGATAGAACCATCATAAATTTAAAATATGTCTATTCATTAAGCCACTACTATATGCCAATATTTAGGAAATGGGAATTAAAAAGAAACTGTTCTCAAGGCTTTGCAGTTTGGCAAATGATTGTATATGTAAGACACACACACACACACACACACACACACACACACATCTCCACTTGGCCATACTATCTTATGTTTTACTATCCTAAAGGAATCATTTTACATTTTTATATCTGTGTTCATAAATAAAATTGGTCTGTAGTTTTCTTGTGTGTATATTCTTTTAATTTATTGGGGTGACATTGACATTATTGGGGTTAATAAGATTATATGGGTTTCAAGTGTACAATTCTATGACACATCATCTGTATATTTCACTGTGTGCCCACCACCCAAAGTCAAATCTTCTTCTATCACCATATATTTGACTCCCTTAATCCTTACTACCCTTTTTCCCCTTCCCTCTGGTAACCACCATATTGTTGTCTGTGGTGATAAGTTTTTGTTTGTTTATCTTGTTTGTCTACTTGTAACTTTCAGTTTTATATTCCACATGAATGAAATCATTATTTTGCTTAGCTTGATATTCTCAAGATCCATTCATGTTGTCACAAATGGCAGTATTTCATCTTTTCTTATGGCTAATATTCCATTGTATATATGTACTCTATCTTCTTTATCTAATCATCTACCAAAGGACACTTCAGTGTTTTCATGTCTTGGCCATCATGAATAGCGCTTCAGTGAACATAGGTGTGCACATATTTTTTTGAATAAGTATTTTAAAATTTTTTGGGTAGACCCAGAAGAGGGGTTGCTGGGTCATATGGTAACTATATTCTTCATTTTTTGAAGACCCTCCATGCTGTTTTCCATAGTGGCCCTCAGTTTACATTCCCACTGCAGTGAATGAGGGTTCCTTTTTCTTCATAACCCCTCCAAGATTTGTTATTATTTATCTTATTGATAATAATCAACCTAACAGTTGTGAGGTGATATTCATTGCAGTTTTGATTTGCACTTTCCTAATAGCAAATGAAGTTAAGCATCTTTTCATATGTCTGTTGACCATTAATTTGTATGTTGTCTTCTTGGGAGAAGTGTTTGTTCAGTCCTCTGCCCATTTTTTAATTAGTTTGGGTATTAAGTTGTATGAGTTCTTTATATATTTTGGATATTAAATCCTTGTCAAAGCAGTAGTTTTCTTTTTCTGTGCTGTCTTTGCCATGTTTGGGGGTCAGGGTGATATCAGCTTTATGTAGTAAATATGGTATATTGGTTCTGCTTCTATTCCAATCATTTGTAGAAGGCCTTTGGCTATTGCAGTAACTAGAGAGCTAAAAACTACATCTCTCCATTTCCCAGATTCCCATGTAGCTAGTTTCAGATGTCAGGCAGGTTCCATCAATCAGATGCATTTACAGGTATCTTAATTTCAGAACTGAGTTTCCCATTTTGCTGGTATGGATTTGGAAGATATAGAATGGCTCTAAAGCTACACTGGTTAATGCAGTGGTTTCCTGATCTCTGGATTGCAGCTAAGTGGCATGATCCTGGAGCCCAACCAGTTGCCACAGTGACTTCTGATTACCCAACTTCCTGATTCTAGCTGAGATGGAAGTTCGATTGGCCATATAGTTATGTAGTACTAGAGGCCCAGTGCACAAAATTTGTGCACGGGTAGGGTCCCTAGGCCTGGCCGGTGATCAGGGCCGATTGAGGCCTTCCTTCCCTCGGCTGCCAGCTGGCAGCCAGGGCCTTCCTTCATTCCACACCACCCCCTAGTGGTCAGCACACACTCCCGAGGGGAGTACAGGCCAAGGTTAGCCACTGCCGATATCTGCCTGGGGCTACCCAGCATGAGCTACAAAGCAATCTGCACATGGTTGCTACTTGTTCTGAGATGCTCAGGAGAGGCCAAGTTGTGAACCAAGGCTGGCTGCCACTATTGCAAGCCTGAGGCCACTTGGAGAGAGGTACAGGGTACGCTGAGGCTGGATGCTGCTTATTTGAGAATTTTTAGGAAAGTCTGAAGCATGAGCCAAGACAGGTCTTTCATGTGGAAAAGCCACTGGAAACACCTTGGCTGGACCTGCAAGTTGGTGTGGTGGGTTCTCAGGGAATCACCAGGTCAGGAAGAACAGTGATAGCCAGGTTGATGGAAACTTAGATATAGCCCCCGCCTGCCAACTCTCTGGGGGAAGGGCTTAGACGAGGAACAATAACCTCTGCCAGCACTTCTTTCTTAAGAAATATATATATATATTTTATTGATTTTTTACAGAGAGGAAGGGAGAGAGATAGAGAGTTAGAAACATCAATGAGAGAGAAACATCGATTAGCCGCCTCCTGCACATCTCCTACTGGGGATGTGCCCGCAACCCAGGTACATGCCATCAACTGGAATCGAACTGGGGACCTTTCAGTCCGCAGACCGACGCTCTATCCACTGAGCCAAACCGGTTTCGGCTCTGCCAGCACTTCTGTCTGGGAGAAAGCTGCCTCTCCAGCTCTCACCCTGATGCCAGACACTTCAGTTCCTCTCCATATGACCCCAATGCCTTTCAAACTACAGCCCCAGTGCTGGAACTCAGGGTGAGTCTCAGTAAGTCTGTGTTCTGGCCCTTTAAGAGGAACTACCTGGGACGCCAGAAGCTCTCTGTCTCACTCAGCCACAATCCTGGCTGGTTCTTACAATCAGAAATTATGGGGACTTCTCTTCCTGGCATTGGAACCTGGGCTCAGGAGCCTAGTGTGGGACTGGAACCACTCACTCCTCAGGGAGGACCTCTGCAGCCAAGATATCCCTCCTGATTTTTGTCCACCACATGTGGGTGTAGGATCAGCACATTCCACATCTCCATCCCTCCCACCAGTCTCTATGTGGCTTCTTCTTTATATCCTTAGCTGTAGGACTCCATTCAGCTAGATTTCAGGTGGCTCTGAATGATAGTTGTTCTGTAGTTGTATTTTTTATGTCATGGGAGTATGCAAGTACCACGTTTATCTTGACTGGATCTATTCATTCTTGCTTTTATTATTTTTACATTACAGATGAGGAAACTGTGAAGTAGAAAGATTAACTTGTCCAAAGTTATATACCTATTGCATGGAGCTATCTTCAATCTAGGCTTTCTGACACCAAAGCCCACGCTCTCAGTTATGGCTCTCCATTGCCTTATCTATGCTGTGTCACATGAATATTGATTTACTGATTAATGAATTTGAATTGAGAAATATGTTGAGCCATGTAAACCTACAATAATTTGTTTTTCTATTCCTGCTTTGTTTTCTAGGCTGATTTCATGCTCAGGAGATACAGGCAATCTCATATTAGCAGATGAAAAAGGAGATCTAAAGTGTCATATCACAGCTAACCCATTCAAAGTAGACTTGGTGTCTAAAGAAGAGGTTGTGATGAGCATAAACTCCCTGGGCCAATTGTATTTTGAGCATCTGCAGATTCCTCTCGAGCAAAGGTATTTTTGCACATTATTTGACACATAAAGAATTTAAGAAAACCTGATTGTGAATACCAGTTGCCTAAATCTATAATATATCAACACAGAAAATTGGTTTGCCTTGTTTTATGGAATATTGTTCTGAAATTTTTCATCTTTCACCTGTGCAGGTGAATGCAGGCTTAATGATAAGAATGATTCCCATACTTTTGCAAGCATAACACTCTTAACACATCCTGTGTAATGGCATTCTCAACCCTCTGCACCCTCTTCAAAAAGCACTCTGTTGACTTGATAAATATTAATATGAACTAATCAGAATTTCACTTTATTCCTTTACAATAACGAGTTACCCTAGACTTATCTATGAGAAATGTTAAATATAAAGACACATGATTAAAAGTAAAGAGATGGAGAAAGATATACCATGCTAACACTAATCAAAATAAAGTGAAAGTAGTTATATTAATTTTAGAAAGATTAGACTTCAGAACAAGGAAGTTATGCCCTAGCCCAGTGGTTGGCAAACTCATTAGTCAACAGAGCCAAATGTCAACAGTACAACGATTGAAATTTCTTTTGAGAGCCAAATTTTTTAAACTTAAACTATATAGGTAGGTACATTGTTATTAACTTAATTAGGGTACTCCTAAGGCTTAGGAAGAGCCACACTCAAGGGGCCAAAAAGCCGCATGTGGCTCGTGAGCGGCGGTTTGCCGACCACGGCCCTAGACAGTTTGGCTCAATGGATAGAGCGTCAGCTTGCAGACTGAAGGGTCCCAGGTTTGATTCCTGTCAGGGACACATGCCCAGGTTGCAGGCTCAATCCCCAGTAGGGGACGTGCAGGAGGCAGCCAATCAGTGATTCTCTCTCATCATTGATGTTTTTCTCTCTCTCTCTCCCTCTTCCTTCCTCTCTGAAATCAATAAAAATATATTTTTTAAAAAAAGAACAAGGAAAGTTAGCAGGGATTAAGAAGAGCATTATGTAATGATAACAGGGGTCAATTCTTTGAAAAAACGTAACAGTCCTTAGTGCGTATGTGCCTAACAACAAAACATCAGAATACATGAGGCAAAACTGATAGAACTTCAAGAAGAAATAGACAAATCCACTGTTATAATTAGACACTTAACACCCTTATATCAGAAATGGATAGATCCAACAGAGAGAAAATCAGTATGAACTTAGTTGAATTCAACAGCAAAATCAATCAACTGGATATAATTGGCATCTATAGATTTCCTTATTCAACAATAGTAGAATATACATTCTTCTCAAGCTCACATGGAACACTTTTACCAAGATAGACCATATTTTGAGTCATGAAACACACCTTAAAAATTTTAAAAGAAGGGAGACCAAGATGGCGGCATAGGTAAACACCTGAGATTGCTGCCGCAAACAACCACTTCAAAAATACAACTAAAAGACGGAACGGACATCACCCAGAACCACAGGAAAGCTGGCTGAGGAGAGACTCTTCAACTAGAACGAAAGAGAACAGCATACCGAGGCTCAGAGGAGGTGCAGTGTGGAAAATATAAAGGTACCGAGGTGCGCACGCAAAGCGGGCTGGTGGCTGAGGGCGTGGTTGTCGTTTTCAATCAGGAGGGAGTGTCAGACTCTGAGCTCCAGATCCGGGCGAGTCTCTAGGGACTCAGACTCAAACAGGAGAAGCGGGATTGTCTGGCATCAGTTGAAACGTGAGGGCAGCTTTCTCTCCGAGGTTTGCAGCGGTTGCTGGGGTTCTGAGAAGCAGAGCCTCTGGGAACGGGACTGAGAGCAGCCATAACTGCTCCCTCCGCCCGCCCTGTTGAGCCCGCCCCGCCCAAGCCCTGCGCAGAGCCATTTGCCGGATCGCCTCAGGCAAAGGCTAGATTAGCACCTCTCCAGAGGACAGAAGTTTTCCCACAGCTGATTCTCACAGCCAGTCGGCCTGGTGGTCAAATCCCTCTAGTATTAACTACAACAATCAAGGCTCAATTAGAACAAGACTGCGCACAAAGACCACAAGGGGGTGCACCAAGAAAGCATAAAAAATGCGGAGACAAAAAAACATGACAGAAATGGAGGATATAGAGCTAAAAAACGCAATTTTGAGGGCTTGCAATAATGTGCTAGAAGCAGCCAATAAACTTGATGAGAGCCTCACGAAAACTAATGAGACCCTCGATGCTATGATAAAGAACCAACTAGAAATTAAGCATACACGGACTGAAATAAAGAATATCATACAGACACCCAATAGCAGACCAGAGGAGCGCAAGAATCAAGTCAAAGATTTGAAATGCGAAGAAGCAAAAAACACCCAACCGGAAAAGCAAAATGAAAAAAGAATCCGAAAATACGAAGATAGTGTAAGGAGCCTCTGGGACAGCTTCAAGCGTACAAATATCAGAATTATAGGGGTGCCAGAAGATGAGAGACAGCAAGATATTGAAAACCTATTTGAAGAAATAATGGCAGAAAACTTCCCCCACCTGGTGAAAGAAATGGACTTACAGGTCCAAGAAGCGCAGAGAACCCCAAACAAAAGGAATCCAAAGAGGACCACACCAAGACACATCATAATTAAAATGCCAAGAGCAAAAGACAAAGAGAGAATCTTAAAAGCAGCAAGAGAAAGAGACTCAATTACCTACAAGGGAATACCCATATGACTGTCAGCTGATTTCTCAACAGAAACTTTGCAGGCCAGAAGGGAATGGCAAGAAATATTCAAAGTGATGAATACCAAGAACCTACAACCAAGATTACTTTATCCAGCAAAGCTATCATTCAGAATTGAAGGTCAGATAAAGAGCTTCACAGATAAGGAAAAGCTAAAGGAGTTCATCACCACTAAACCAGTATTATATGAAATGCTGAACGGTATCCTTTAAGAAGAGGAAGAAGAAAAAGGTAAAGATACAAATTGTGAACAACAAATACGCATCTATCAACAAGTGAATCTAAGAATCAAGTGAATAAATAATCTGATGTACAGAATGAACTGGTGATTATAATGAATCAGGGACATAGAAAGGGAATGGACTGACTATTCTTGGGGGGGAAAGGGGAATGGGAGATGCGGGAAGAGACTGGACAAAAATCGTGCACCTATGGATGAGGACAGTGGGTGGGGAGTGAGGGCGGAGGGTGGGGCGGGAACTGGGAGGAGGGGAGTTATGGGGGGGAAAAAAGAGGAACAAATGTAATCTGAACAATAAAGATTTTAAAAAAAATTTTAAAAGAATATCAATCATACCATGCTCTCAGATCACAATGGAATTAACCAGACATAAATGGCAGAAATATGGAAAATTCCAAAATACTTGGAGATTAAACAACACACTTTTAAATAACACATACGCCAAAAAAGAAACCTCTAAAAAATTAAAAATTTTTTGAGCTAAATGAAAATACAACTTATTAAAAATTGTGGCATGTAGCAAAAGCAGTGCTTAGAGGAAATTTTTAGCATTGAATGACTATATTAGAAGAGAAAAGATACATCTGATTAGGGCTTAATAACCAAAATTTATTAAAAACTTATACAACTCAACACCAAAAAAACCCACAAAAAAACCACAAAAGCAATCCAATTAAAAAAATGGGCAAAGGACCTGAATAGACACTTCTCCAAAGAGAACATACAGATGGCCAAGAGACATATGAAAAGATGCTCAACATCAGTAATCATCAGAGACATGCAAATGAAAACCACAATGAGATATCACTGTATACCTGTCAGAATGGCTATCATCAATAAATCAACAAACAACAAACGTTTGTGAGGATGCAGAGAAAAGGAACCCTCATACACTCTTAGTGAGAATGCAAATTGGTGCAGCAAAACAGTATGGAGTTACCTCAAAAAAAATTAAAAATGGAACTGCCTTATGACCCAGCTATTCCACTTCTGGGAATACATCCTAAGAAGCCTGAAACACTAATTTGAAAGAATATATGCACCCCTCAGTTCATTGCAGCATCCTATCTAATAAAGAGGGAATATGCTAATTGACCCTCATGCTGTCGCAAAGATGGCGGCACCCACAGCCAATAAGGAGGGAATATGCTAATTGACTGCCACACCCTCAAAGATGGTGGCACCCACAGCCAATAAGGAGGGGATATGCTAATTGACTGCCACACCCTCAAAGATGGTGACAGCCACAAGATGGCAGCACCCAGTCCCCTCGGCCCTGCCGGGGTGCCTACCTCCGGAGTCCCCCAGTCCCCTCAGCCCCTTAGCCACCCAGGGCCAGCCTGAGGTGCAAGCAAGCCTCGGATTGTGGCTGCCTAGCCCCCCAGGGCCGCCCAAGGCTCAGATAACCAGGGCGGCCGAGGCTTGCGCTGCCGGCAGTGGCAGCAGCAGAGGTGTGATGGGGCATCGCCTTCTCCTGATCGCCAGGTCGCCTTCCGCCCCTGAGGGCTCCCGGACTGTGAAAGGGTGCCGTCCCGGCTGAGGGACCCCTCCCCTCCAGTGCATGAATTTTCATGCACCGGGCCTCTTGTTATTTATAATAGCCAATATGTAGAAGCAGCCCAAGTGCCCATCAGAAAGTAGACTGGATTTTTTTTTTAAAGCTGTGGGATATTTACACAATGGGATACAACTCAGCCATGAAAAAGGAAGTCTTACCTTTTGCGACAGCATGGATGGACCTGGAGAGTATTGTGCTAAGTGAAACAAACCAGTCAGAGAAAGACAAATATCATATGATTTCACTTATGTGCAGGATCTAATTAATAAAATAAACTAACAAAATAGAAACATTCAAATATAGAGAACAAACTTACAGCTATCAGAGAGGAAGGCGTTGTGGGGCTGAGTGAAAAAGGTGAAGGCATTAAGCAAAAAACAAACAAAAAAACCCACCTCATAGACAGACAATAGTATCGTGACTACCAGAAGGAAAGAGGAGTGGGGGCAGTAGAAGATAAAAGAGGAATAAATGGAAATGGAAGGAGTCTTGACTTGGAGTGGTGAACACACAATACACTATACAGATGATGTATTATAGAACTA